GATTAATTTCTAATGGTGTTCTAAATGATTACATCAAAGGGAGTCCTAATTTTTCAGCGAACTTGAATTCTGCTTGAGAACTATGTTATGTGATAGGAATGTTATTAGAGATATATTAGTAATTAGTTAGGGAATCTGCATTCCGGATGATTATTAGGCCCTACTGATGGGTTTTGGGACGTCATTAGTGCTTAATCTTAGTTCATTAACTAATAAACTTGCCCGTAAGAATTAAGGCATCTCTCCTTTCCATGCAGGTGGAAATCCAGAAGATATGATTCAGGTTATCAGGATCATTAATATCAATCTTGGTTTTAGCTCGCAGTTTCTGAAGGATGCTGACTTCCAGTATATTAAGATGATTTCTTGAAGTACAAATTCCAAGTGTAAAATGTAATTTGCATCTTATAATGAAGATGCAGTCCAAGGCTCTTAAATGAAAATTCCCGGAGGATTGTTTTATGTTCTAAGCACTCCTGAAAATTTTGATTCACTGTGGCTGAAATTTATCTGGGCACTTATGGAATGTGTAATTTGCAGTTCATCTCGACAATATTTGTGTACAGATAAGGTAACGTTCATCGACGTCGATGTTGTGTATCAGTATTTCTGTCATCTTTCTGCCATCTTTAGTCCGAGAATGTGTATCAGTATTTCTGTCATCTTTCTGTCGATGTTGTGTATCAGTATTTCTGTCATCTTTCTGCCATCTTTAGTCCGAGAATGTGTATCAGTATTTCTGTCATCTTTCTGTCATCTTTAGTCCGAGAAGCTCTTGTAGGACTTCGATGTGCAGCAAGATTTGGTTTTTACTCTCTCTTGCATCTAAGGTAACAGATTAGATTCATTTACTTAAAAACCATCGTGCTCAAATGTAGAAACGGATTCGAGTTTGTGAATTCTTATCAATGGTATTGCAAATCATTATGGGGATACAAAACAAGTTCTGTCCTTGTAAATAATGCAATCAAATACCCGAGCTACGGATCGAGCTTATCGGGTGATTTGGTTCATTCTAAAATATAAACTTCAAATCAGGTAACAATGGAGGCTGTAAGATTATTAAATCAACAGTGTCACCAAATATAATAAGTTGAATGGCAACAGAAGGGGGGAGTAGAGGGGGGGAAAAACTCTTTTAAGTTACATTTAGAGTGTGCTACCTTGCAAATTCAGCAACTACAAATTCTTGAACACCACCTAACAATATGCTACTTCAACAAATTAAAACTTGCTACAGATCCACCCAAAGAACATTAGTAGTTCCCTTCCTTTCATCATGGAAGATATAATGATATAATCCAGTTTGCTGCAAAGAGATTCTCAAGTCTTCTTCATAATATAGCCAAGGATGATTCCAATCAATCCGGTTAATATGATGAACAGGAAGGAGACGCCACCGGCATTTTTCCTGCCTTCACGCTTCAAAAGTTCCTGCACGATGCAGACGTCCACCGTAAGAAACTAATGTAGACCTGGTATTCTAATATTTCACAAAAAATGAGAATCAAATTTGGTCATAATTTTATTCGCAACCGCACGTTCGATGTTATAGAAATATTTCATTTGCATAATCGTCGAAAGGTATATCTCAAAAGTAAAGGCATTGTTTCCCATGTAATCATATAGGAAACTTCAGCAAAATTGCATCCAGTGAAGCTTCAAACCATCCATTTTCTTACCAATTCCTGACGAAGCTTGTTATTCTGTTGCATGGCATTATTCTTTTCCTCTGTGAGTTTTGCTATGAGGGCTCTAGCCTGCACATACCAAGTAGCCATCAATAAGCAGCTTGGTAGAAGCAGAAAGTACAGCATATGAATACAGAAAACACACACGTACACAAATAGCAGCAATGGCCCAAGATTTAGTCAATCAAACCATCTGTGTAGTGCCAAATAATTTAAAAACATCTGAGAACCATGATAAAGGTTTGAGAACATTGCACAAACAAAGAAGAACAACATTTTTGTTTTAAGGAAAAAGAAGAAGGAGAGATCCAAAGGTTGTTGGACTTATGAATTATGGTACTTTTCAGGTTTCAACTAAAAAATCTGAAGCTTAGGGATAGAGTCTCCCATAATATCTTGAAAGGTTGAAACAGTTTCTGTCTATTGATAATAAAAGGGGGGGCAGACACCATGTTCTGAGCTTGGCTTAGACATCTTTGGGCAAAGAGACTAACGATTGATTAGCTAGGTAAGAAAAATTAGTTGGATAGTGACACCAGGGAACAGAGAGTCCGTGGAATTTGACATCACTCATCGAACAAGCAAACCAAACCGAATGCATAAAACATACTTTAGAGAATCAATTAGTTGCCAGGATACTTTGGAAACAGCTTAAATACAGAGCAACAACGATCTTTAAGTCGAAACAATTATCAAAGGTTCGCTCCAAGTGGACGATCCTGTCCTAACTCTTTATTAAATAAAAACTTCTATCATGTAACATGTACACAAAAAACTTCACAAGTGTATCGTCAACTACCATATAATACTGTCCCAAGAAAATTTTGTTGTTTACTTCTCGGAGTGACACTCTAATCACAAGGTCATATATTAGCATCAAGTTCTATCTAATAAATTTTTTTTTAATAAAATGGCATTAGGAGGAGAAAATACATCACAAGATATGCATAACCAGGTATCAAAGCTACAGAAAAGAAGAGAATCATCTATATCTGCAGGCATAAAACTATACACCTAGAGCATACCAACAATCATCCTATTTTTTACCTCGGCAGATTTATCCTGGGGCTCCGACCGTTCAACGTATCCCCTCGTGGCCTGCCAATGGAAGGTGAAGGTGCGTCAATCAACTGTGCAGTTGAACGAAAAAGGGAAAAAAAAGAACCCAACTACTCACAGTGTTCAAATCAGCATCATTGAAGTTTCCATTCTCTGAAAAAGAACCTCTTGGGGAGGACCCTTCTTCGGAACCTTCTGGTACTGGAGAAGGTGGTTGCGGCCGAGAAACATAAACGACTTTCAATTTGAATTCCTCAACCACATGCCCAGCCTCCTTATTGAACTGCAAAACCCACGCCCTTAAATAAAAGTAAAATGCTAATACTAACCACAAGCTTTAAACATTCATCATATATGTACCATTTCTGCATTGATATCCTTTGCGGTTACGCCATCAGCGGTTTTAACACTCTGAAGGAGGAATTTGTCTTTGCATTGCATATCAGGAGGAGCCTCTTTCTGGGCTTGCATTGTGACTACACAACAAAGTGATCCTTATATCAGTAACCAAAAAACTTATTTGAAAATTAAGTATTGGAATGAATATATTTGGCGTTTGGCACCTATAACATCGCATGTTGATCGTGGCGAGACAATTCCAGTGTTTGGGCGAACGCAGTACTTTTTAGGGTTCGTAGTTTTCACCTAGAAAAGTATAAAATTCAGGTTAAGTGGACAACAAACACGGAACAAAGTCATCAATTACGAGCTTTAATCTTTGCTAAATTTGCCAAATAGTAATGAATTATAGAAACAGAGAAACACGCGAGCAAATTGAAAATTGACGAAATCAACAAATTTCACAGCGTGATCTGGCGCAGACAGATACATCAAGAGAGAGTGACAAAAAGGAAAAAGAAAAGAAGTGATTTGGAAGTGCACACGCTTACATTCCAAATCCAGAACACCTTCATACTACAAGCACCAAATCACTTCACTGGAGAAAAGATCAATTACGAAATCACACAAATTGAATCAACACCAAAAAGATTCAAACGGTGAGAAACAAAATACACACCTTAAATGCAACGCAGCTCTCGGTCTTGTTAGACAATTGAAGGGAACAACAGATCTGCTTCTTCAATTCGACTAACCAGAAAGAAAAAAAAAAAAAAAAAAAA